GTGTGTGTGTGTGTGTGTGTGTGTGTGTGTGTGTGTGTGTGTGTGTGTGTGTGTGTGTGTGTGTTCGGGCTCACCCTTGCACTGCAGCTCCACCAGGGCCTGGTACCAGCCGTCCTGGTCCGCCTCGCTCTCGGCGGCCACGGCGAAGCTGTCGGCCCGCGTGTACAGCACGATCATGTGCTTGTTCTTGGCGTCGGCCCGCTTGTTGATGTTGAAGCACGTCTCCAGCGCCACGGCCCGCTTCGGGACGGGGGCCTTGCCGCGGAACTTCTTCTCGCTCTCGTAGTACTCCAGGCGGGCCGGACCGCGCTCCGACGCGGCGCGGAGCACGAAGTAGCGCCGGTGCATGGACTTCTGTTTGCGGAGGTAGCCGCTCCGCCGCACGTCGTCGTCGTTGTTGGTGGTGGCGGKGATGTGGTTGTGGAGGTCGCCCGCGTGCCCCTCCATGGAGTCGGTTCTGGTTTCCAGGATGCTTCAGAAAGATGAAATAAAGACTTGTTTAATTGGACTTYTCGTGTCTTCTGGAAGTTCGGCGAAGTGGTTCAAGCATCCCCCCGGGTCTGCGGCCCCTCTCTGCCCCACATAGATGCACGCATGGTCAGAACTCCTCCAACTGTCGCTTTCTTCTTCTTCGGTTGTTTTCTCACCAGAGCAAGTTTTCCAGGCAGACACAGACGGAGCACATGCGGCGCAGAGAGCGGGACTTCCCCCCTCCTCCTCCTTCCCCTCTCTGTTCCCTCCTTTACTCCTAACACTACCACTCTTAGTGTTTCCCAGAGCTGTCTGAGCGCTTTAATCCCATTTACTGCACATCGCAGAGCCCGTCCGCCGGTCCCCCCACCCCGAGCTGCAGCTACCGTGGAGCAGCAGCACCTCACTGTCACTCAGTGAGCTGGAGTAGCGTGGTGCGTTCAGGGGCAGCTCCGACYGCGCAGCTTCACGCGTTCAGCGTCCACAAGTTCACAGCAGACAACAAAATACAGTTAATACAGTACACTCAGTAACAGCAGTAAATAATAATAAAAAAAAAACTTGTGAATGCTGAGTGCTGAATGACTCAGTTTATTTAGCTAATTTAAGCAGAAATAAAAGCTAGAAGAACAAAAAAAAACTAACTAAAAGCTGAAAGCAAAATGCTTTAAATAATAATAATAAAAACACATACAAGACACAAAAGTAACCAACGGACAAAATAACAAAAATAGCTAAAGTAATATTTAAAATAACAAAAAGCTATTCAAAACCTATACATAGTAGGTAAAACCTAAAAGAAGCAAAACAGATTAGCTGGAAACTGACTTTTTAAAACTATCTTTTACCAAAACACAATTTAAAAGGTAAAAAACAGAACTGGCAAAAAGCTAAAAGAAGCAACATGCTAGTAAAGTAAATCACTAACACAAAGTTAAATAAATGAAGCCAAAAAATAAAAAATAAAAGAAAGAAAGAAACCAGGGGCTAGACAAGGCTAACTACAAGTATCCAAATGCTAAATGAAGGCAGCAAACGTCAGTAAAAGGCTTTACTTTTCCTAGCTTTATATTTTAGTCAGTTTTGTTTTGCCTAAATCTGCCAAAAAAAGACACTGTTTTYAGGTATTTGTAATAATAACAATATAAACTACATTAAAGTATAAATTTCAATTAAACATGGTACACTTAACTCAAATCCCAAGTTTTATTATTTGTCTTGGACAGTAGTCTACATGTGCTCCCTTGTGTGCCGATTATATTCATTATCTAAACAAAAACAAAGTTGTTTTGTGTGAGAACAGAAATAAACACGATAATGCGTCGTTTCCCACAGCACRTGAAGGCAGCAGCACCTCCACTCAGTGTGTAGACTTCACTCTTGGCTCTTCAGCGGGTCCATCCTGTTCTATTTATTGTAATAAAAAAAAATCCCCCCTCGGTCTGTGTTGAAATGTTCATATATTGACACTTTTGTGTTCCCTGCGGATGAAGCAACACGACAAAAACTGTTACCTAATAACGCACATTTAAAACACAGAGGGTGATTAATTTTTAAAAAAATCAAGTCCCAGTGAAGTCTTTAAGAGCTCAGTTTGTTTCTACACTTTGTATTCTTACTAAGCAGCAGCTTAAAACGCTTTAACKGGATGGATTAAATGTCTGGACTATCTGAGGCTGAGCACTGGAAGAGTCATCTTCTGTAAATGCAGCTAAACAATAATTAGACCCCTCCAGTCCAGATGAACAGTTTCCAAATTCAAATGAATATTTTAAAACCTTCTAATGTAGTAATTCCGCTGCCTCCAAGGGCTTTCTATCTTCGTGCTGAGAAGCTTATGCAGTATGCATGTTGTTATGCAATATGCAGCAGAAAGTAACCTTGTTCACCAGGACAGAGCAAACTGTGATGTCACACGCCCCCTGCTGGAGGAGAACGTCACTGCAGCCTGGAAACCAGSAAAAATAMATACCTTCCTTCCGGTTTGCTCTGATTAAACTTGATAGGACAGTTCAAATGTGTTTCTGTGGACAGGTTATGAACCATCAGTATCTTACCTGTTGYAGATAGTTTAATTCTGACCACASTGGTGAGCTAACCGCTAGCAGTGCCAACGCTAAAGTGGATTTCTGTCATCCATGAATCGTAAATGTTTAATAGCAGTTCGTCAGAACACTATTTTATAAATCTAGCCATTAGCTTCTCAGTCTGCTCAGAAATAATTTTCCAAACTGTGGTCATTCACAACAAGACGAGGAAAACTTCAAAAGATCTGAACYATTCGTTTAACTTTTATCAYMGACTGCCTTTTCAGCAGCTGGCAGTTAGCAAAATATATCATGAATGACTGGATGGATTTAAATGAAGCCAACGCTGGAGTCCGTCCAATTCAAGATGGCCGCCACAGCTGCACAAAACGGCTGTAACTCGGTCCATTTTACAGATGCTGAGCTCAAATTTGGAGTCGTTGTCGGTCATTCAACCGAAACGAATCCAACTTTTATGTGAACAAAAACAAACCATAAAGACACAAATAAAGAGTCGAACTATAAGAAGCAGCAACAGTTTGATTTTATGAATATGAATACTTGTCGTTACAAAGAGATTAATATATGAAACTCTACTTTTTTTCCTGTTTCTGTTTAGCAACAAAATAAAACAAACAAAAAGAAAACTTTGCATTCATGTGAATTGCTTTTTTTTTTTTAAAAAAAAGGCAAGAAAGCATTTCAGAACATATGATTATGAAATGTTTTACACATTTTTTTAATATGTAACATTTTTGTTTGAATTTAGTTTTACATTCATTAGCATCTCCTTATAGCCCTCTAAGCGCATGCAGCCTGAGAGTGGAAATCACGTAAATCAGTTTAAATCCTGGGTTTTTTTGGACAAAAATAATGACGATTCTTTCTCTCTCTCTCTCTCTCTCTCTCTCTCTCACACACACACACACACACACACACACACAC